GATGACTACTATGTGAAGGAACGTGAGTTGGCGGCTTATCTGCGAAGTTTGAGGAGGAAAAAAGACCAGTTCCTTGGGAGGCTAGTGATACACGCGCCTCCTTACAGGGGAAAGGAAAAGTGGCATCTGACTTACCAGCAGTACCCTTATAACCGTTTTCCTCCGTATCTCAGTGGGGGAGCATTTGTGGCCACTATTGACGTAGTTCGAAAGTTTTACTTTGCATTCCCCTATGTTAAATACCTGGGTCTAGATGATGTTTACCTGGGAATTGTGGCCAAGAAATTGTCTGTCATACCCAGAAATGAGACTTACTTTGATTCCGCCAACGAATTCGCCATTGCGAAAGAATGTTCACATGACCCAAATCAGCTCCTTAATGAACAATGTACACTGATCGGGTACGTCATGCCGACCACTGAAGAGCCTTTGGAGGACGAACAATCGATCAGTGTGATAGAGCATGTCAAGAGGTTGTTACACTCCACGCTATCTGGCCTTACCAAGTTCATCGCCTCGAACCCGGCAGCGTAAAGTTTATATCCTGCCGACTCATTAATATACCAATACATCAATATTCAAGATACTTAAGAATTAGGAACTGATCGAAAAATTCAAATTCAATATTTTTTATTTAAAAAATTTTCAATATTTGTTTGGAAAAAACGTCTCTGAACTTATTTGATTTTTACATAAAACTGCTCTCAATCAAATCTGTTTATCAAGACAAAAGAGACGACCTTTTATTAACAATAAAATACTTAGATATGCGTTGTAGTGACAAAATAAAGTTGTTTCAAAGTAAAGTTTCTTTCCATTCAATTTTTGCATTGTTGTAACAAAATAGGGTTTAGATATAATGTGACAAAATGTAACTTCTATATTAGTGTATATCAGATACATAAGTCGGTAATCTTTGACTGACTGGTTGTAGGATTAATTTTGTCAATATGTAACATCTGGTAGACTGGGTGTAATTATGAATGCACATGGATATTTCCTAACTGTATTCACAGTGGACAGCACTGACATCTACCTCTCCCGGTTAACAAGTATCAGGCAGTTTAATGACAGTCTAATAAACTGAAGTCCACCCTGATAAGAACTCAACCAATGGGGCATTAGATCGTGGCATTTTTATGACGAGATATTATAGAATAGGGAAAAAGAAGGGGATTTTTTTTTTGGGGGGGGGGGGGGGGAGGGGGGCAGAGCCCTGTGGACAGAGAGGTTACACCATAATGAACAGTATGAGGAGCGGGTATTTTAGTGTATACGTTAGAAGTACTGTATTTATACAGGGACAGTTCTAGTACGAGACACAACGCAAAGTACTAGTATGAGTATACAAACTCTGTATGTTGATGAGATGTTGCATGTAACATGTAACATTATTATTATTCAACATGTAATAAACATGGCTATTACCAACAAGTAAGTGTGTCTACGCCTACTGTGTTACAATTGTATACTAGTATGAATACAGTTATGTACCATGCACTAAATAGATTATCTAAGGTTCATTTCATTAACAGTACAAGTGAAAAATGTATTTCTCAACTTCAATCAACTTTATAGATAAAACATACTATTGGATTAAACAAGCCCATCCCAATCTTCGCCAGTTAATCCTTATATAGTAATATAATAGAAGGAAAATATATGAAATACGAACATAAAGGATTCGATTAGATATTGATATATTGAATTTATAATTGGTTAAAGGGAGATAACAACCTTATTATACTCATTATTTGAAATCAATGTAATAATTAGCTGTTGTAATGGCTCGAGGATGACTTGATCCAGCAAATCCAGCAATAATGACTTTGTTAAATTCTAGTATCACCTTTTTTTTCTTACCTTCGTGACTCCTAATTCTTTCTTAATGTCCCTAAACACAACCAGAGCTTGAATGATTCTGATGATGAGCATGGATGTTAAGATTATAAAGATGTGAATTACATTCAAAAATTCAGTTTTAAAATGTTTTAATTACAAAGTGAATTATATCTTTATCTTTGATGTCTTAAGTGTAGTGTATTTCTGGGCTGGGAGTTTTTTTTTTTTTTTTTGATTCGTTTTATTTACTTATTTTTTTTATAGAAAAGCTCTGTAAATTTGTTAGTTTTACCATAGTTATCTCCCTTTGTTGAACATATCAAAACTTGTAAAAACAGGAAGTATATGAAGTATTTTTTCATAGTTACAACAACACAGTGGTGAATAAGTAAGACGGTGTAGTGTTTGTAATGACTTATTCATATTAGAACGGGAATCCGTTTTTATATTTCAGGTTTAAAAGTGTTTAAGTATCTTGACACAGCAGGGAGAAACCTGTACAATGAAGTGATCTACAGATAGCATGAATGAACTCTTACCTTCAAATATTACATGGAGAATTCACCATTACTGTAAAATGAATGGGTTTAAGCACCGAGGAAAATCGATGTGGTGCTATAAAATCTACAGTACATAGCTTCAGGTGATTTTGATGATGATTATCAAGAATTTCAAAACCAGGTTCCTGTTATGATTTGTCCTGATATGTATCCCAAGTAAAAATACAGATTCTATCCAAATTGATTCGAGTACGGAGCCCGTTTACGGAGCCCGTTAACTGACATGCTCCATACTTATTTTATTTCGTTTAAACGAAATATTATTTCGAAAAAACGAATTATTATTTCGAAAAAACGAAATAAAATAAGTATGGAGCATGTCAGTTAACGGGCTCCGTATTCGAGTATATGTAGTTATGTTGAAGGTTTACTATAGTTGCCTCAAACTTCTTCCAGTATCAGTTTAATGTACGAGGGAAAATAAAGAATTCCTCTTTGATCAGTGTATCATATAATTCTTTGATGTCAAAATTTGTGTTTATCTACTGAATGGAAATTTGGTTACTTCATCAAAATCTTTCTAAGCACGTGGACTGATAATGATCGACTTACAAATGAACTCATTAGTTTACTACTTACAACTTGACAAATACCAATAACTGTAAAACCGTTGTCCGACTACACTGAAAGTCACCTTGACTGGCTGTCTTTTGAGACATTCACGGCAAAATTATACAGAAAAGGATCCTAACCAATTATACGACATAGAAAGCACCTCTCCAATACCGGTTCGTACCGTTTGTATCTACTGTACAACATACCTTGCGAACTTGTAATTCCAGACCATGGCTCTGATGGTGTCAACAAAGAATAGTTCTGTTTGCTGTGTAATTACATATGTATAATGTAGTAATGTTTAATTGGATGATACTGACCAGATATTAAACGAATTAACTGCGACACACGACTAGAAGGTAAAGTACCAGCTATCATAATTTAATTTGGTATTATAGTTGTCCATTTAGCATTTAATGAGACCTCAATCCATTGTTTCATTGCATGTAAATATGATTTTTTTTTCGTGTCAGATTTATGTACGTTAAAAAATCAAATGTTAAAGTTGGATTTTTTTACAACCCTGCCACAATATCACAAATACATGTAATTATCAAATACTTAATCTAATGGTTGTTCTGTCCTGTGGTTGTATTTTCCCCTGCGGTTGTTAAATATTTCAGTCATAGCTGTACCTGACACCGGCTTCATTAGATATGATCATACTGACTAAAGTAAACATCGGCTGAGATTACCAGGAAGTTTACAGTACCTACGGTATCTGTTCACAGAATTGTAAATTATAGCGTTGTTCAAGATCATTCTTCAAATTTAAATTTTATCAAATAAGCTACAATTGCATCAAAATAAAATCTAAATCTTTATGATTAAGTGTTTTTTTGTTTTTTTTTTTTTACAAATGTGATGTATATTATGACTCACGATCTATATATTCCATTAACATTTGTCCCATATTTGGGTAAAATAAGTTTTTATATATGTTATAAAATATAAAATTGGTAAGTGTATACATAAAATTAGATCTACATCTTAACATATTTAATTACTTGATGAGATTGCATTTCTGTGTACCATCAGTTGATGGCCTTGCTGATTATGAAGTAGACTTTAGGCCTGCACCTGATTAGGTGAACAAAATTAAAAGCATCAAATATTTACAAATTTACAAAATGTCATCAAGTATTTGTAGCTTAGTGATAAATAATATACATATTATTTTTCATGTTTTTAAGTAGCAATTGATAATTTTGTAGCTCAAATTCAGGCAGATAAGAGTTGCTTCCCTTGTGTTATATTGCCTGATTATTATTACTAAACTGTATGTTAATGTATTTTGTTTTGTACCACTTTGATGTTTTAAGTTTTAAATTGATTCTGCCTGATGAATTATCCCTTTGTCATGTATAAGTTTATATGTCAATGAAATTGCTCGAAATTGCATTATCATCACAACGCCCAAGTTTTCTATATTGTAATAAACTTATGTCCTGGCGCAATTCTGATCAAGTCCGTGACATTCCTTTTATCGACGTCCGATGTTTTCGCGCTTTTACCAAAAGCTTGCATAAAAGAATCTACATCTCCAATGGAATTAATGAAATGGATTATGGTCTCTCTAATGAATTTATTTTTACGGAAATATTTCGATTATCATCCTTCAAAACAACCCAAAAATCCCTTTGAAAATAATAATCTTTACAGAAATATATCACACAGCGTTCACGCGTATGAAAAATTCTAGGAACTTTAAATGCTGTTTTTGTTATATCACATTCCTGGCAGTCCTCTAAGTAATTATTGTAAAATCATACTGTTAAGATAAGTATATAATGTAGATGATGTAAGATAAGAAAATTTATTTAGCTATATGTATATCCACGGAATCAAGTGTCCGCGTAAATTGAACCCAACGAAAATATATAATTCTACAGTATTTTCTCACAACGTTGGGATAACGTTATTTAACCACGGGAATAAGAAAAAACAATGAACACCTTTAGAAAATAAGCATTAAGTATATTCAATAAAATAAAAACATTGTCAATATTTTTGTCAAATACAACAGCATAACATTATGTACAGGCAATTAAATAAAAAAATATTAACAGCAGATACATAATAAATAACATTCAACTACGATACAACAGATATGAAGTATTATAATGAATATGAAATGCGGATCATTTCCAAACTTATAATTGCACTTTTAATGAATGTCTTTGTCCGGTACAGGAAGATAAATAAAAACTCCGATATACATTATTGGTTCTACAGTATTTGCACATAAGCGTTATCACTATAAATTAATACATATGTCCAACAAGAGTTATCTCTCTTTATATAAATCCATGTTCAATTATATCTGCCATCGATGTGAAACCAAAACTGTAATACTCACATTCGTTTCAATCCCGCCATCAGTTAAAAAAATCACATCACATTCACCTTTGTTTCAATGCTGCCATTCGTTTAAAAAATTCTCATTCATATTTGGTTTCGATCCCGCCATTCGTTAAAAAAAGTAAATTGGCATTTAAGTCTTCCAAAAAATGAAGCCTCTGAAATAATGTCAATGACGTATGCAAAAATGTGTATTATGCAGTGGGTGTATGATAAATTTATGACATATAATTGTTCCTCGATTTCGACTTTTGCACCATTCTAGCCGCCTGCCCATAGGAGATACTGCTGTCTACCGTGTTCCATGAATCCGAACTTTCAGGTGCCATCTCTGCCGGAGCATGGAAAGCAGCTGAACGACCACGTGAAGCTCTCAGCATGCCGCCCATCCTTGGACGATCCACGGCAGGAGGACTCTTGAAGTTTGTCCTGACTTCTGCCATGTTGGTGAACTGTGCAAGTTGTATGGAGGACGCAGAGGCAGCCTCTAAATCAAAATTATTCCTCTGCAATTTTTTACCTCTGATGCCTTTAGATTCCATCTTCGCTTGAACTCTGTGGGTCATTTCCTGGTCGTTTATTTGATTCCCAGCCGCTATTTCTCTTTGTATTTCTTCGTCCACTTCAGCCATCCACCGCTCCAGCGATATCTCTTCTTGTGCCCCTCCTATGATGACTTGGGTGAGGGCCTTGGCCCCCCTGAGTGGTATATACTGCCCTCCTGTTAGATAGGCAATAGCTGTGAAGAATTCTTTGTATGGATTTATTGCTGGTTCACACCCAACAGTGTACAGAGTGATTCCTTTAGCTGCAAGTTGTCTTACAATTCCCATTGGGTCCAGTCCAGCTGGACACCCATCAGGAAATCCGTCTCCATAGGTACTCAGGCCGTGTGGCGGGGCATCTGATATCAACACGCATATTTTGGTAGCATTCTCTCTCCAGGAGAGTTTAAGCATGTCGTGAAGGGCGTCAGCCACAGCTTCGGGACCATCACCTCCTCCCTGAGCACTACAGTTATCCAACCACGACTTCATGGTTGATACAGACGAAACAAAGTCGTGTGCACGTGTCACAAATGTACAGTCCTGTGGCGGATGGTCACGATATTCCACCAACGCTAAATGTATGTCACTCTTCTCACTGGACACAATTTGCTCCACAATGGTTCGGATGTTATTTCTACTTGTCTCTATGTAACTCGACATACTACCCGTACAGTCCATAGCGAAAGCAATATCTAAAACCGCACTATCATGTTTCGCTAACGACGGTTGTGATGGTACATCTTCTACGGTAACTTTGTTAGTAGCCATCTTTAAACTGTAAAAGCGTGTATATTCTAGAAACAAATTGTTGTTATAGTTGGTATGCGGTGCTGTCAAACCAGAGAAACTTTGACTGATCAGGAAGACGCAACAGTATTTATTATCTGTGCTTGGGAAATCCAGTGTTTCTATTTATACCCATATGTAAACAGACGAATGATGTCACTGTTCTGGTCTGCGATTGGACAGTCATGAGTTCAATAGCTAAATATAGATGCAGCTTACATTGCACCATCAATCAGAAATACCTACACATCATGCGTGTCGTATAACACTTACTTGAACTGATGGAAACAGTCTTATTTCTATAATATTTTCTCGGCTTGCCGAACTATTCTTTTACAATACATATACATTTTGTAGGTTCAATATGTATGATATCACTTCTGTTGAGTCCTTTTTCATCAGCGTGAGATGTTTGTACACACACATCGCACTTAGTCATTTATATAATAATTTGTACATTCCGATTTTTATAACACAATTCAGAAATGACATTCACCTTCTCCGTCTTTTTTTGTGCATTTTTATTCATTCTGTCTAAAATTGTATATCACATGTGTCTCGGCGTATTTTCTATGTTTAACTTATGCGGTCACCGCAGATAAAAATAACGGTGACACGCACAGGTCTTACATCCACAGATCCGCGTGTACTGAACCACGTAAACGTTTAAAACGTGTATGATTCAAAACAGAAGTATTGATTCATCAAATTGTGACCTCTGAGAAGTAAACAATTCTAAATTCATACTTCTGTTATGGAGATTAATCTTTCTGAAAGGCTAGATTTTAGACAGTAATTTAAAAGCAAAAATAGCCATGTAGTTGCATTTCTTTTTCAGATGCAGACGTCAGAACATCTGTAACAGGAAAAATATTTTTGAAACGTCGGTCTTTATTTTCTCCTGACTGACAGACATTCTTTGTTATTTTTGGTTGCAACAATTCTTATATTATATGTCAGTATATTTAAACACGAAAGTATTGAATTATTATCTGATTCCGGTCAAACATCAGAGGTGATCATCGTAAATGCAATAAGTTGTTGATTTTTTCACTCAAACAGACGATATCATTAAAACATGTCTTTAAAAATCCTTTACATACTCTCATAGTAAACACATCGTGGTTTCAAGTTGTAACTTTCAGCGTCATATTCCACTGTTACACATCGAAAACAAACACGTCATGTAGGGAAAGATCATATCTATATATAGGTGGGTGGGTGTGTGTGTGTGTGTGTGATGGATATTTAAAATTTATCGATGATCCAATTATCACGTATAACACCATACAGACGTCATCACTTTGATAAACTTACATTACACTAAAAGTGACAATAGTTTAACTGTGCAGATTGTTTGTCATTTATCTAACGTCGTCTCATTTTTACATCGTATTCCAAAATGATTACCAAACATTTTGTTCTATATCAAATTGATTTCTAAAGAATCACAACACCTTTATCTGTGTCATTCTTTCGCGTGCTTTCCGTCATTAAAATCGAAATCACCTGATTTTTTCGCAATTTCTTCTATTTTACGATTTTTACGATTAGAAATATACACTGATATTTGAAATAACCTAGCATCTTATTATTTATACATAATTGATCAGACAGTACGGCAAATGATTCAAAAGTGATAGATTATATTCTTAAGAGCCGGGTGTTATGTAGTGTGACGTCAGTTAATCTTTTTTATTTTGTTGTATTTAATTTCTTGACACTGACATTGACGTCTCCGTTTTTCGCATGGCAACGTCGTTTGTAAACATAAAGATCAAAATAGGATACATTCATATACCCACTGTTTAGTTTCAGAAATACTCTATTGTCATTGTGTTTTTATGTTGACAAATTTAGATAAATATCAATAACATAAAATATTCTAAAACAAACAGATATTACATATAATAAAAACTGGGGGATTAAATCACCTTCATTCAGAAAACTGAAAGGAAAAGGGAAATTTTAATGCGAAATTGAATCACAATTACAACATTTGTACTGTGGTGACATCGACACAGACAAAATTCGCGGTCATTGCATGACACTGGACATGCATAATTACATTTAAACTTGTACAAAAGACGCAAGTGAACATTACCATACAACAGAAATTTAGACTCGTTTTAGATTAGCCAAATAAGGAATTAAACTGCGACATACAAACTGCGAGATGTCTCACAAAGTTCATTGGATCCAATCCAGCAGGACAGCCGTTAGGAAACTAAACCATGAGGTAAGGCATCTGTCACCAAATCACACATCTAACACGGAGTCGCCTTGTAGAATTTTCTTTTGTTAATATTTTGAACTAGTTTTATTGACTATGAGTCTGGATTATAATCATATTGACTTGTTGTTGTTTTCTACTTGTTTGTTGTTCATTTATTCCTCCAAGAGAGCTTAAGCATGCTGTGGACAAACTAAACTAAGGCTTTGGGATAATCACTTTCACCGCATGCCGAGCGGCGGTCCAACCAGGACTCGTTTCGAAAAACAGAGTAAGTGATGTGGTGTCAGCATGCTACAAAGGATATTTGTAAGTTTTCGTTTTTAATCATAGGCTTTAAAACGTAAAAGCTAAAAGCAAAAATTGTCATGGTTAAAACTTTTGATAACACAAATTGATATAATTCTAGATTTTTTATAACAGATGGCCATAATTTATTGCTAGCAGGTTAATATATAAGACGAGTTAGTTTAATATAACAGAGGATAAATATTTCGGTATGATATACGTAACACCAAACCGACCGTTATACGTTAACAGGAGATTTGTCATTTTATGCATCATACAATAAATAAACAGACTCGACCAATCAACACCAAAACTGAAATAGATGTGTCATGGATTCAGAGAAGGATATGGCACGCTCTTCGTAATTATTTACAAATACAACATAAAACACTGGTGAATATCTCAGTTGAAATTTGTCCTAGATTCTGCTAGGTATTGGTAATTTACATGTCTCACGCGCAGTAGTCACTATCCATTAATAGACGTTCTATTTAAATCCGCGTTGTTAAGACCAACCGACAGTGGCTGTAGACGGACCATTAAACTCCAACCGGATCAAATTCTAGAGACACTAATAATTTCATGATAGAACAGTATTGTATTGAATCATCGAATGCACGATGTTTGGTAGAAAAACATGATAAACCCATAAAAACTTAATCATATTTAATTGTTTATACTGAAACAATACAATAATAACTTATTATAATTTACCTGTGATCACAACAATTTTCTAAAAAAAAAAATAAATTCAAACATGTATTTTACTGAAAGCGAAGGGAGGTAACCCATGTTGCTTTGTCTGCTAGGTATATTGCGTTTACGGAAGTTGCACAAAGGATACCTTTCAATACAAATTTAGAATCAGAGACTGTAGAGTCAAAAAATCGATCAAACTGAATCATACAGCTATTTCAATGTTCTTGAAATCCTCGCTGATAGTAATGGCCTGATTTTTGATACCTAAGAGTGCGACCGAGGATAAATTGATCGAAAGAAATGTCAAAATGTAGAAGGGGGGTGCACTAGCCCCTAAATTACGTTTGCAATTTTTATTTATCTGATAAATTGAAAAGAGATCAATTATATATATATACATTCAGAACGCTGCGAAAATGTAATAGAAGATGCAATGAGTTGGATTTTCAGTAAAATGTCAATGTCTTTATTAATACCTGTCTTTCATTGTTGTTTGTTTTTAATTGACGCCGAGTCAATTTTAACTGAAAGTCGATTAAAATGACGTCAACATATTTAAAAGAAATCAATTTATAAGTCAAATGCTACATCGACAACACTCCCGATGTAAATCTTATCACAGTATCCAAACGAAAACGAAGTTACCAAAATCATCAGGAATTCTAACTCCAGTTACCATCGAAAGCATGTAACTTCTTATCGCACAAGGCAAAATATTCGCCAATGAGATTTTCATGGTGACCATTCCCTACAAATGTTATAAAAGTAGAAATGCTGAAACAATCTTTGACATTTTTTCTTTATCAAAAACCACAAATGGACGGTATAAATTAAGATATTAAAAATACTATCGTAAATATCAAATCTTTCGTTTGTCAAGAAGTGATTTTGCCAAAATCTCAAACTCAATCGGCTCAACTCATTTGTAAACTTTAACATATGAAGGATGGCTTAATAAAGTAAGACAAACTTATTTTCTAATGTTTTTTTTTCGTGTTTATTGTTTGATTAAGGATGTTTACATCCAAACATTAAGTAATGACAACGTTTGACTTGTTGTAGAGAATACATGTTATAATGGAAAAAAGAAACTGAAAAATTCGTGGTCATATATCTAACTATTGATGACAATTTGTTATCAGTTTCATCGGGATTCAATCATTTTTCCTCAATTTTCATATCTGACAGCCACTTATCTTTATCCGTATTAATGAACAACATTCGAAAGTGCTCTAAACAACAAAACACTATTGGTGTGTGATTTGATCACGCCTCGACGAAAATCCGTTTTGGAAATGATATAAGTGCTTATATTACGGTAGAATCATGTAGCCGTAACATCATAACATCTCGCTAATGACTGGTGTTTGAACTGACAAATATGTCACATTTATCTGACCACACCCGAACTTCCGGCTTACAAAAAATTGTGCCAGCTGTTTGAGATATCTACTGCAATTGTATGTGTATTGCGAAATTATTGAGTATTAGCTAATTGTTGACGTTGACGATTTAAACTGTCCGCATTATACTGACATTGTTCATTAGCACCTTATGCAATAATAGTTTTACGTGTGAACACATCTGCAGTAGACATGTACAATGGCATGTACAGCAGACTTACAAAATAGACATCTACAACAGACGTCCACGAAGACGTGTACAGTAGACATATACAGTAGACATGCACAGACATGTACAGTAGACATATACAGTAGACATATACAGTAGACATGTACAATAAAAACGTACAGCAGACCTACAAAATTGACAGCTACAACAGACGTCCACGAAGGCATGTACAGTTGAGAT